AGTCTTTTTTTAATATGTCAGAAATCACAATTCAATTTAAAAAATACACTATTATTAAAACATCGATCAGAGTTACTACGAACTACAAGAATTTTTATATTATGTTACTTGCTGCTACGGAACCCTTCATGGGCGAGTCCGAATCGCACTTGACCCCTTTTTTATGATAAACTGTAAACGATGTTGTTATGTTTGAATCATATATAGCAGAGTATAGTAGCTATAATACGAACTCCGATTAACGTAAGTATCTACCTATCTTTTGTTCTTAAAGGTGACAACACAAGCGATACGCTCCTACATACTTACTTACATACCTATCGGGGACCACTCCCGCTGTGAAAACAATTAAACCAATCAATAAATTTGTTAGTCATTGGTATTTTTGGCCATTCGAGATCAGTGTATCGGCAATACACAGCGAACTTCCAGCAATACCGGCACGTTTACTTCATGAATCATTGCATATACAGTTCCGATGACCAGAGTTATTGCGCCTTTCAGCGTAGCTAATACTGCCATATTTTTACACACAAATAGCATCTTTCATGAAAATAACCTCGAGCTGTATTTATCTCGGATACACAAGGAGACTTACTAAACGGACGATATAAAAACTGTTAAGATCATAACATTTTTATATTGTAACAGTGGCCCTTTTGTACGCTGTCGAGTCTTCTCATGGTTCCGAGATCCCACATTTCCAAGGCCCTGGCTTCTATTCGTCGCAATCGCAAAAGAGTAGAAATAAAAGTTTACTTTATTTTTATTTAAGCATTACATTTATATATGTAAAGAACTGAAACGTTACGAGATTTGCAACTAGACCTGCCCCTCTAGCATGACCTACCAAAACGGGATATGATAAAGCTTTTTATCGAGTTTCAACTGTCAAACTCCACTGTAGTCTGACAGTTAATGCCGATATATCGCTTTATCATATCCCGTTTCGGTGGTCATGCTAGAGGGGCTGAGTGCGCAAGAGACTGTTGAAGAAAAACGAACTAAAAAGGAATATCCATACTAATATTATAAATGCGAAAGTTTGTCTGACTGTTGCCTCTTCACGCTTAAATCGCTAAACCCATTTAGATGAAATTTGTAAAGAGATAGTTTGAGTCCCGGGGAAGGACATAGGATAGTTCTTACTCCCAGAAAATATCCTTGAAAGGGGTGAGAAGGGAGGTGGAATTTTGTATGAGTAACCAGTATTTCCAAGCAAACGAAGTAGCGGGTACCCACTAGTACTAGTGCCAAAAGTATTCCACAGAAGAAACCCACTTGCAAAGACCAAAATTCCACGGAACAGACTTTCACTTGCAAAGATTTATTTTTACTTTTTAGTTCGTTTTTGGACAAAGCAGTCGGGATTTTTAATATTTCTTTATGCATATGCAAAATTTTCCGACGAAAATTTTTTTTTTTATATGTACTTGTAACTACTACACCTTTTTTTCTCAATCCAAATCAAATTTAAAGAAAACTTTATTTTATTATCAGTAAGGCAAGTACAGGTATAAATAAATTATACATCTCTTTATGAATATTATCGATGTCAGAGTGAGTGCTCGCACTTGCAAAATCAGAAAATTCTGGAATCAATTTTCATTTTTATTTTCAGTAATAGGGTTCAAAGTTCGAAATCAATTGCCAATATTAAATGTTTTTGTTTTGATGTAAAAAAAAGAAGATAAAGCACCTGGCAGAATGCTTTTATAAATGATTTGTCTCCGTTCGCGGAAACTTTTATCTGTGGTAGCATGATTATGGGTACCTACCGGCACCTACGTATTCGTAAGTTTCCTATCCTGTTCAATAAAGTACCCCGTACGTGATGCCCTGAAAAACTTACGTCACGACGCGACGTAAGTACGAACGTCAAAAACAAAATTGCTAATTGGTCATTGCTGTGTGGTATAAAGGTACTTTCCCAGACAGGTGACAATTCAAGCGGAAAATCCGCTATAAGTATGTACCTCTTATTCATTCATTCTTATTTTGTAGTCATTGTAGTAGCTTGACGGGAACGTATTAGGTACTTAGTTTTTTGTCGTGTTCTCGTAATTTTGAGACCAAAAGTTATAATAAAAGATAATCCATTAGAATGCTCTGATAACGGGATGTATGGTATTTGTGTGTGGAAATCTCAACATTTCTCAATTTCTTCAGTAGTAAATTGCACCTACGCGAGCTGGGGCCGATGGTTAGTTCATCATTATCTTCCGCCTTTTTTTAATGTCCCCACTGCCAGGGCCTCGGCCTTTCCTATGGTGGATGGAATAGGAAGAGTAAGCCATAACTCACCACGGGGGCAACTAGGCCCGGTTTGGTGGCTAGTTATTTTTTCAAAATCAAATAACACTGTAAATTATGGAACCAGCGCATTTTAAGCTGATTTTGTTATGTTGCATTCGGAATTTCAAGAAAAAAAACTGCATGAAACATGAAATTAACTCAATACGGAAATCGAAATTGGAGTTTTTATCCCTACCGAAAAATCCACACTTATAACTATTTCATTCTAGTGTGTAGTAAATAGCAAGCCAAATGAAATCAAATGTGACCATTTAATAAGTTTATAGTGGGACATCATTTGAGCGAACAGCGCCACCGATTTGGCTGACTGTCTTAAAATTATATTTGTAAGTTTTTTTTATAATGTGCGTGCTGGCTAGCCCTATACTAAAGTGCGTTACGCGAGTGCGCGTCCGTTCATTTCTCGAGTGCGGTTGACTCTTTTAAAGTTTCTCTCTCTCCCTTCTTTTGTGTTAGGCTTGTACATAATAAATTACTTTCTTTTGTACCATATTTATCTCTTCCCTTTCTTAGTTTTTAGGTTTTTTCTTTTAAAATTTTTACATTTTTATTCTATTCTCGTAGAGGAGTGTAACGTTACAATGAAGCTACTTATTCGGAAGTGAACACGCCTACGTCTGAATGATAAAAGATCAACATTATTTTTCCATTGTTGTTTTTTCCTCAGTAGTACTGTGGAATTTTATATACGGTTATCTTGTCGATAACAATTTACTTTGAATTATTTAGGGAAATCCTCAGTCTAAGGCATGCGGTTTCCATACACCATGTTTATAAATTATACTTATTTTTTGAAGTTATACTTCTTTAGGCGCGTTATGAAAAAATGATGAGAGTGAAATTTTAAGATGCGCGCGCATCACTGTAACACAAAATTTTAACAGCATGAAGTTGGTCGTTTTAGCGACAAATCTACCAACAAAATAGAAATAGAATCTCTATTTAGTGGGTGCTAACGACTGCATTGTGAAGGCCTATCAAAAGTATTTATTAATCTGGAACAACGGAACCAAAGTGCGATTCAGGACTAGACTACAGCGCCATCTCTTGACCATTGGTGCAGTAGAACCAAAAGCCACATCTTTATTTTTTGTAACAAAGTAACAGTTATAGGCATTCATATTTATAATATCAAAAGTATTTATTAATCTGGAACAACGGAACCAAAGCGCGATTCAGGAGACTACAGCGCCATCTCTTGACCATTGGTGTAGTAGAACCAAAAACCACATCTTTATTTTTTGTAATAAAGTAACAGTTATAGGTATTCATATCTATATATATAAAAATGAAACCCGTTTTCCGTTGTCACGACATAACATGAAAACGGCTTGACCGATTTGGCTGGTTTTTTTTTTGTAGTTTTCTAATACTCTGTACAAGGTTCTTACGGAAAAAAATATAAAGAAAATCCCAAGGGGATAAAATAAGGAATGAAAGTTTGTATGAAACTTTATCAATTTTAAACCGATCGGGCTGAGACTTTGCATGCAGGTATAAGAAGAATCATAGATGAATGTCATTGTGTATAATACAAGCCTGAGAACAAAAACTGTAGTCTACACTTCAGCTCTACACCGAAGCGAAGCGAGGGTGGGCCGCTAGTTAATAATATTTATCCACATGTTTCTAGTTTGTATATTCGGAATACGTGTTTGAGTTTCATACAAGTGCAAATCACATATGTTCTAATAAATTATATTCAGTAGCGATTTTAATTGAATATTTTGATTATTTATTTATTTTTTCAAATTAAAACTGAACTTTATTGACTGTGTCCTTTTCCAGAGTTTTTATTAATTTATTGTAATTAATTATTTGCATGCAATTAAAAACTAATTTTAAACGATGCCAAAGAAGGATAACTTCTCACGCGCCTACATAAGTACACGCACCCATTTTTTTTATTTATCTATCATGAATTGTACTATACCTATGATTGTTCCAGATGTAGTATGTATAAATACTTAGTAAAGTCTAATTAATTTAATTACTTTATTTAGTCATTTCTTGTCATCGCAAAGAAAATGAAATTTAAAACTTATGAGGTGTCTTAATGCGGCCGCAAGAGCAAATAAAATATGTTTCGCAGGATCACTTCCCTCATCAAAATATTTAATATTATGTAATAATTTTAGTTTTAAGGAATTAACTGCTGGATGTTTAAATCAAAATGTTTACTAAAAAAATCCATTCGCTCCAGGTTTTTTAGACGGGATTCGAACCCACCGTCGAATTCGAGACTGCCCGGATAGCGAGATGCGAAGATGCGGGCTCGAATCCCTACCTGAAAACTGAACTGAGAGGATTTTTTTCTAGTAAAATTTTCTTTCAAATTCAATTTTTATATTTTAATTTTTCGAAATAAATTATAATGTCCTAGTACATAAATGTAAGTAAATATATTATGTCAATGTATAGAGTACGTAAAAAGGTTTGGGAAATGAATTAGACAATTACTACAACGGTTCTTGTGATAACGCTGAGCTGAGAAAGAAAACAAAATAAAATCATGCCGTGCCGCAATTAATATGCGAGACGGTTGTGAAGAAATTAGTTGAGATTATTGACAATGTTATTATAGTAAAAAATATTATTTCAGTTATTATTTATAAAATATACTACATATATAAGTATGCAGAGTTAAATTAATAATTAAGTTTATACATTGATTTAATACTCACTTCGTCAAACACCTATTGTTATGACACAAAAAACATTGTTACTCCTTGCAGACACTAACAACACAATTTCACAAAACACACAGAGAGAAAAGAGACGTCGCTTCTTTGGTATTCGATATTGTTTTCCTTTCGACTATTGAATAAATACTGCAAATCAATTTCTTTGGCGGTAGGCGTAAATACTGCGTTACGCGACGCGACGTGTGCTAAAGGCAACGAGGAAAAAGCAACTCGTCCGCGCGGCAGCTCGTCAACTAGCTTACAGCCCCGAAAGCCTTTGCAGCGTCTCTTTATAAATAGATATTGAGGCGCCCTTACACGACCAACGAATACGTTTTAATCACACACCAACTTCGTTCTAGTTAGGACGAGATTTCTTCCAGTTTCAGCGGCGCTGCGTCACGTCACCGTATCCCGTCGGTATAAGTCGTCCGGTCCGATCTCGCCGACCAACCGACGTTTACTTTACAGCCGTACTGTTTATTTTTAGTAAATCCTGTATGAATTTACATACAAGCAATGGTCCACTTTGAACACTTTACTACATACACACACACTTATTATGGTCGAACTTCACTTTTTGAGGTAATTTGTTTTAACTCTAAGTAAATCTAAAGAAAATTTTACTAGAGAAATGCCCACGTGATCCAGGCATCAGACGGGATTCGAACGCGGCCCTTTGCGCAATCCGGCCTGACCACAAACCAATTATGCTATAGTGACCTTAGTGGTCGTATCGAATTTCTTCTAGTATTTCTTAGTCTGCAAGGCACCGCCATCTCTTCGTATTACGGAGGTGTGGTTCCTAATCCGTTTCTGATGCCTGGACCGCGTGGAATTTCTTCTAGTGAAATTTTCTTTATATTTATAAATCTACCAGTTAAATGTTTAAAATTAAAATAAACTATAGATAAATTTAAATTTGTGTTAACCTAGATCAGTATCGCCTTATTAAAAGAACCGCTCAGTAGCTAACCTCACTGTATACCTGTTTGCATCTAAAGACAAACAGGTATATTGAAGATGGATCACAGACAATCCGAAGATCCACAAAATGTTGAGATATTAATTTTCGGTCATCCGACCGATGACCCGACCCGCCGGTCGCGAAAGTTGCTTAACCTCTCATTCGCAAAAAATGGGCTTACCTCTGTGCATTTGAGCTTCTAAGATTATACATCATCATATCAATAAACTTGTACAATTAAAACAATAAACTTATGAAGTAACAAATAAAATTTTAACCTAAGTAAACATAATAATTACACAAAATATATAATATATATTAGAACAATGAACCTTAAACTAAAAACCTTAAAAAATATAATATAAAAGCTAAAATATATTATTAAAAGAAGTCCCTTTAGGCAAGGTTCCGAGGATACTGGCAGCGTTCCCCCTTTGAATAGATAGACTAATTCTTACAGTGACTTCTTAATTTCAGGCCACCAAAAAGAAGAGCTTTGCTTTTAATTATAAAATCCTTACCTTCCAAATTAAAGTGACCATTAAAATTACCAATAGAAACAAGCTGAAATTGCGGAAAATGGTTATTTTCTTACAATTAAGTCGATCCATTCCGTGAATCACATTTTAAATAACTACTTAAGTAGCCATAAAAATTAGATCAATAAATACAGAAATACATAAAGTCGTAGTACCAAATTACATCCAAAAGTCCAAATATTTTTATGTGGAGAAATTGAATAGTTTTTTTTTTTGTATGTATGACGTTATGATGAGAGCAAAACCGCGAGTGGAAACGAGTGCATAACAAATCGATTTTTACAGCTCTTTCGTCAAAGGTTAATTTTTGAAGTGCTAAGGAGATAAACAGGGTTAGCCCATTTCTTAAATTGATTTTTTGGAATCTATGGTCACAGAAATTCTCATTTCACCTTATAGCTATCACAAAAAAGAATAAAATTCTTTGTGATAAAACTTTTTTTACCTATTTCTTTCCTAGACTGTTTTAGCAGTTATTTTTTGTTATTGTGTTAAATAAAACTAGTTTTTACGGGTTAATGCACGAAACTTTATTTATTTATTGACGTTTAATAATATATAAATAAATAAGAAATAATAAAGAAAAAAGAATAAATTAATAAAGTTTCGTGCATTAACCCGTAAAAACTAGTTTTATTTAATGAGTGATGTACGTGAAAACCTAAGAAACTATATTGTGTTAATTTTTTTATTACAAATTATTACATGTACTTGTAGTATACTATTAAATTTACTTTTAAAATCAACTGCTTTTATACTGATTTTATTAGAGATTTTCTGAGTCAGCCATAAAATGCTGTAGTAACTTTAATTGGGTGTACTGTAAAATTTTATTAATGTGACTTAGCCTGTTTTCCCCCTAGCCCTTCATTTGTTACATATCATTTAGATACTACTTTTGTTTCTAAAAAATCAATTGACATTATGAAAAAAGATAACTAAACATCAAGAACGTTTATAGTATTTAATAATATTTTTTTTTTATTCTGCGTAAACAATATTTTTTTTTAAGTGAAAACTTCTTTATCACCTTTGTGATTTGAAACTCGATGAAACGAAAATTTAACAGTATTCGACACAAGGTTTCCGTAATTTTGTAACAACAGTCTTGGGGTCGACAACAAATGATCTTTGATTCGATCCTAAGCTCGGTTAGTTTTTAATTGTTTTTTGACGTGACAACGTCTTAAATTAGGTTGCGGCTGGGAGTCACTTATGAAAAAGTGTAACGCTCGGTAACGTTACGATGAGTCTCTCGTGTTAAGTTTAAGTTTACATGTACAATGTTTTAGTAAACAAAATATATTTCTATAGTTAAAATTTGTGCAATTCTTATTTTCATTCAATTCCTTGTTCCTATTGTGCAATTTAATTATATTCATATCAATAAATATTCTACCGAGAAAAAGACGTTGTCACGTAAAATCTTCGCCCGTAAAACCGACTTTACAGGCAACCATTTTTTTGTCTTTTATTACGCTATTATTTCTTTTCCGAAACAATTTAAGTATAGAATATTAAAATATGCCCAGTATTTTACAATACTTGAATAGTTACCAGGCCACTCAGAAAGTTTTGCGAAAAAAGTTTGTATGCATAAGACACTGGCCACTTGTAATTATTTTGAAAACTTTGATTATTTAAAAATAAAAACACTGTTCGATTTTCGAATTTCCCTCCGCCTCTTTTCGAGAGCCAATATTTTTTTTCATGTCTCAATAAAAAATGGATCTGCATCGAGAACATTTTCGTGCCATGATTTTTTACGATTTTTAATGTGGCTTAAAACCTGATGAGTCATTTGATCGATTTCGAACTGCTTTTATGGATGAAGGACCTTCAAAAGCAACCATCTACCGCTGGTGTAGCGAGTTCAAACGCGGTTGTCTTACTTTGAGGGATGAACAAGGGAGTGGTCGTCCTACGACGGCTGTCACCGAAAAAAGTGTGCTGGCAGTAAAAAAATAATTCAAGAAAACAGACGAATTACATTAATTAACGGTACGAAGAGATTCAGCATACTCTGCAGATTGGTTCAGGAAGTGTTCACAAGATTTTGCACGAGCACCTTTGCTTAAGGAGGATAGTTTCCCGCTGGGTGCCGCACAATCTCATCGAAGCTAAGAAGCAGGCCCGTGTGGATTTGTGCAGTGATATATTACAAAAATTTGATGCGGGCTCAGCACGGCGCGTTTACGATATTGTGACAGGTGACGAATCCTGGATTTATCAATACGATCCAGAAAAGCGTCAGTCGCCAGTCGAACCAACGCCTACGAAAGTGAAGCGATCGAAGAGCGCAGGGAAAAATTTGATCGCTAGTTTGTTTATTTTGACGGGGTGCCTAATTTCAATTCCATTTCGAGACCAAAGCACCGTCAACGCCGAATGGTACAGCACAAAATGCCTGCTAGAAGTTTTTTCTGCAATGAACAATCGCTTGGATCTAACACCGGGCTCCGCGGTGTCTTTCTTCACCACGACAACGCGCCCGCGCACTCTGCGATCAAAACGAAGGACTTCCTGATCTCCACACCAGAGTCTTGGGACACCCTCCTTACAGTTATAAACAATGAAACTGGAAAATCTAAAACTCGAAATACCAGTTTTAATTTAAACATTGGAAATAGAAATGGCTACATCACATATTGAAGTTGCTACAGCATTTGAGAAATTTTTCACTGATATTCCAGTTATATATATAGTTTCAACTACAAAATCCTTGGAGTCCTCCCCTATTGCTGCTGAATCAATATTAAAAGAAAACATCAAACAAGGTACTTAACAATTTAAATTTGAATATGTTAACTCTAAAGACACAATCAAATATTTTAACCAATTCAATAAAAAGAAAACCGCGGATCTGTGCGTAACTCCGTGGCTGTTTCTAGATCAGTAATTGACACAATAGCTCCTATTCTGGATAGCATTTTTAATCAATGTGTTGACTGTGGTGTTTTCCTGATCTAATGAAACATATTAAAATAACTCCATTGCATAAATCGGGTAGCACATCTGACCCCACAATTTTTAGACCCATATCCGTGCTACCCACCTTTAGTAAAATTTTTGAAAAGATTATGCTAGATCAAATGCAATCACATTTTTATAGTAATAACATTCTGCATAGTAAACAATTTGGTTTCACAAGGGGTCGCTCAACAACCGATGCCGGTGTTGAGCTTGTACAGCAAATTTTTGATGCCTGGGAGAACTCGCATGATGCACTTGGTGTATTTTGCGACTTATCAAAGGCATTCGATTGCGTTTTTCATGAAACATTGATCAGGGAACTACAGCATTATGGATTTAGAGATACCACTCTGGATCTTATTGTATCATATTTGAGTAATAGAGTTCAGAGGGTTGACATCGATGAAGAAAAATCTCCTGGTTCGTCGTTTAAGATGGTAGTTCCGCAGGGCTCAATCCTTGGTCCTTTCTTATTTTTAATTTATTATAATATGCCCTATTTTGTAAAGGATAACCATGAAATAGTATTGTTTGCGGATGATACTTCACTTTTGTTTAAAATTAAACGTAGACAGTCGCAAATTGACGACGTGAACAAGTCTATTTCTAAGGCAGTCCACTGGTTTAATGTTAATAATTTACTGCTAAATGAAGGGAAAACTCAGTGTTTGAAATTTGTTTTACCTAATGTCAAACAGGTAAAAACCAATGTAAATATAAAGGATCGAAATGTGAGCCTTCTAGATACCACAGTGTTCTTAGGAATCACACTAAA